TGTTGCTTAGTTTCATAGCATCATAGAAAAAAGTAGGGTTGGAAGGGACCTCAGGAGGTGTCTAGTCTAACCCCCTGCTCAGAGCAGGACGATTCCCAACTAGATCATCCCAGTTTTATGATCCTCTTCTTACGTGTTCGTTTTACTACATAACTGGCTGTAGTTGTATAGTTTTGACTTAGCGTATGGTCAGAAGTAGCAGAAAGATTTGGTAACTATAGAGCTGGACTAGCTGTATAGTTGGGATGGAGCTAGACAAGCTGTCAGACGCGAGGCATTCTTCAGGTCTGGCTGGAACAAGCCAGGCATGAAATCTGTGCCTCTCGCATCATTTCTGGACCATCATGGCTACAACATCATTGTTATGCGGTGACCATGATTGCATGGGGGATTTGATGATTACATTGTATGAATCTTAGTAGACAAAACAGCCAAAATTGAAATAAGTAACTATGTCCTTCTACAATTCATTAGTTAAAATCGGTCTTAAAGCTGTGATATTAAGTTGTCTGCACATTCAGGAATTCTTCACTCAGTCAATACATTTGGTTCATATTATGAAGGTGTTCTGAAAGGAAATCAAATATGAAAGAATTGTATTTTTTTTCTTTTATCAAGGTTTTACATTCTGCTTCTGACATTTCAAATTAAGGTTCTACTTTTGGCTAAAATTAACTGAGCACAAACAAATTCCCTTTGTGTACACATACAACAGTTTGATTCAACCTGTGTTATCAGTATGTAAATTTAAACTGATTAATATTTATACTTGCCTGCCTCAGTTGCACAAGAACTTAGGAAAGTAAAAATCTTACAATCTTGTCTTCACTGTTGTCAACCTTTTGGAATAAACACAGAGTATAAGTTCAGATAATAAAGGTAACGATTTGCTTAGTATACAAAGCAAAGTTTATTTTCCTACGGACGGATATGAAAATTTGCCACTGATGTGAAAATGAAGATTAAAGTAACTTTATATAATCACCAGTCTGAAAAAATATCTTCAGTCGATGTTAGTTGAAAACTTGTGAATGATGTATAAAGCAGGATAGAATCTACCTCATTCCATCAGAGAACAAGAGCAAAATCTTTTGATCAAAGAACCCAGAACAAAATTACAGTAAGTGACATAAAAGCAAATCACTTGAGAGAGAAGCTGCCAATTTCCCCATGTTTGCTTTTTATCATATCTGCCTCAAAGCAGTATTTGTGGTAGAAAAGGAGACTCTGAATGGAAAATTAATACCAAAAACTACAGCTTAATGCATTATAGTGAATGCAGCTATGATGTATATTCTCTTAAATGAAAAATGAAGTTAAAGAATAGTTAAAATTGGTCCATAAATGTAGTAGTTAAAAAGAAAATCCCCTAATTAATTCCTTAGCAGCCTCTTGCTTAAAATATTGTGTGTGTGTGTGTGTGTGTGTGTGTGTGTGTGTGTGTGTGTGTGTGTGTGAGCAAGAGGCTGCTAAGGTATTAATTAGGGGATTTTCTTATATATATCTATATATTTGTCCTTTACCTACACCCTCCATATGCTACCTTCATGTCTTGACATGCCTCCTCAAACCTATCTTAGTTCTAACTCCTAGATGACTCTGCTAATCCTGTTGTCCCTCACTGAGAGCCTAACCCATTGCACTCTCTCCTACTATTGATTTTTCTCCTTACTGGAACATGAATGTGTAAAGTACAGCTGGTCAGGTAGGCAGAAATTGGTTCTGAGCACTGCTGCAGACTAATCTGGATAAAACTCATCTTATTCTGACCTAGAGAACTGTGTTCTTGCCAACCCAGAAAAAATGACACCATTTATTGTTCTGCTATATTTCGTTCAGTGCGACTCCCCATGTGGACATTCTGATTCCAGTACAAGACTGCTTTTTCCTGTTTTTTGGGGGGCAGGGGGAATGGGATAAGGTAAATGAAATAAGACCTCTTAAACTGGTTTAGGAGTTCTTGTTTAATTTCATTGCAATGGCAGATTTTCCCATGTAGACAAGCCCTAAGCCTTCATTTATTTTAATTATGAAATTTTAGAAGTGGTTTACGTTCAAGATAGTGCCTGTGTGAATATGAAGTTTAGAATTTGTGGAACAACATTTAAAATTGTTTCAAATACAAAAGTTAGTGAATATGTTACTGAAGACTTGTTCAGGAAGTTCATTTGTTTAATTCATTATTTTCCAAGTCTGTAGACTGTACTCAGTCATTTAAATATAAAATAGGACTTTTAATCCTTTCTGCCTGAAGCTCATCTTGTAACTAGCAACTCTTCAGTTAAAAGTTACTAATTACACTTCTGTAACTGAGAAGTAACTTTAAACAAGCACATCTTATTGTTCCAAACCAGTGGTTGCTCAATCTTTTTGAGCCCACAGGCCAGATGTGTGGCACATGGCTGACAGTGGGCCAGATCCAAACTCTAGGGCCCAGCACCACCCTCTCTCTGTCCTGTGTGTCAGGATTGGGCCCTGGGGGCTCAGCACCACTTCCTCTCACACCCTACATGCTAGGATTGGGTCCTGGGGGCCTGGCACTACCCCATCCCTGCCCCCCACACCAGGATTGGGGCCTGGGTCCTACCTCCACGCCTGCCCAGCCCTGCATGCTGGGATACGGCCCCAGATCCAGCACGTAGGGCCCAAGGTTCCCTATGGGTCCAGAAATTTGGCAGCAGAGGAACAGTGCCACTACTCCCCTGTCACCAGATTTTCAGATTTTCATGGAGAACTCTCACCCTTCCTGCCCCGCCCTGGGCCAGGTGACATGGTGCCATGGACTGGAGGTTGAGCACTCCTGTTCCAAATAAATCTTTAATGGGTTTGTGTACTGACCAAAAATTGCTATGTATTTCAATCTTATTTTGCTTCATGCTTCAACTCAAACGCTGGCTAATTTTAGTGTTTGATGATGCTATAATTTTTGGTGAAGCTGTATTAAGAAAGAGAAAATGGGAGCACTTGCAGGCAGATTTTAATGTTTCTGAAATCACTTGTGATTTTCAGTGCTCCTGTGGAAATTCTTGATGTTAGATACTTGTTGGAGTTCAGTATTTTATTTTTATAATTGTTCTGTTACCAGTAATGATACAGTTGCATCACAGTGATAGATAAGTGCATTGGTTATTAGGGATTTTTAAGGCAGGAACATCTAAGCCACTACTCCTGCAGCCAAAAATGTATGCCTTGTCATAAGTAGCAAAATTCTTCAGAAGCATTAACTAATTTTGAATCTATCTTGATCCCCCTACTTTTTCAAAAGTCTGAGCACCTGCCATTTCTGTTGAAGTCATGTGGGGAATGGTTCCACATCCCTTCTGAAAATCAGTTTGAAGATGTATCAGTTTGGACACCTACAAATAGCAAATATCTGAAAGCTTGGCCATAGCACACTTAGAAGTACATACTAGGTTAAGCATTCCACTGGATAAGGTGGTTAAGAAATGGCTGCAGCAGGTGAAATATTTAAAATGTGATTTATGTTAATCCATCTTTCAGTCCTTTATAGATTTAAAATGAACAAAATAAGACCTAGCTTTTGGAGATCAGTGGCATTAGAAGCATCGCTTCTCTCTTTTGGTCGTTGGCTTTTGAGAATTTAGGATGAGTGTGCTTTCACAAATAAACTGTTCTATAAAGGATTTGATATGATCACATGCTCTTAAAAATCACCTGGTGTGTGGTAAGTTGTTATGATTTGGGTAGGGATTGTAATGGTCAAAATTAGACAGTGTGAAAATGTAAGGGCTAGCCTGACCAACAGAGCTGGAAATCGCCTATAGATTGCAGTGGATTGCATTGTGCTGAAGGTGTTGAATGTTCTGTGCCTGTAAAAGTGTTCCGCAGTGCAGGAAAACGAATAAGAAGGATCAGAATGCTTTGATGTGCATGTTGGGAGTATTTAATTGTGTAAGCATGGTATAATGAAGCAGTCCAGCTTGCAGGTGATTCATCATTGTACTACTGGAGTTGTCAGCATCAGGTTCTTGAGAACTGATGTTATTTCTCCTTGCTTTGGCTATTTGCACAGGCACTGAAAACTACAGAGAGACAAGGAAATCTTCAGTAATTCCATTCACCTCTGTTCCTAAAGAAACAGTTAGACATGTGTCTGGTGACACTAGGCCAAAACAAAACAGGAAAGTTCATTTACAGAACAAATCAAATTAAAAACAGTATAGATAGTAGTGTGTATCTGGTTCTCCAGGTGGGCTCTTGTGTATAAGTTACTGGGTGTATTCAAATGGATGTGGCAATATGAATTCTCAAGGAAGGAAGAAATCCAGAATTTCTCCAACTAATTTAGATTTGACTAAGAATTCTATGGAAAGGGAGAAAAGTCTCTGAACAAAGAGCTTTCTGCAGTGTCTTTGGCATGGGCTTCTTTTCTCCTTTACTGCTAAAGAAAAGTGGATCTGCTCCCACTAAATCTGTGAAAAACTAAATAAAATGGCATTCACTTTAGTTACTGTTTTCCTTAAGGTCTTTATCAGCATAGAAAGCTAGTACTTAGCATGCTTCCAGCAAGGGGTTTTTCTTATGGTGGAGGGGAAAGGTCTTCTAATATTATTCTGTGACCTTCATCACTATATCAGAGTACCTCAGAAGTTCTAGGATTTATCCTACTCATGCCTTTAAGGTAGGGAAGTAATACAATTCATATTTTCGGTGGGAACCGAGGTACAGAGAGACTAAGCAAGGTGCCTAGCATTGCAAGGGAGGTCTGATGTGGGAAAGAATTGAATCCAGGTGTCTCAGTCCTAGGCTTAACATCCTGATAGCCAGGCTATTGTTCCTCTTCATCAGCTATAAGGACAGATATGGAGGAAAAACAGATTAATCCATAGAGAGTAACGTCACGTGATTCTCATTGGAACATATAAATACATTGACTAACTCCCAGAAAATTAAACTATTGCTCAGTCTTTTTTGCACATAAATGAATCTTTCAAGATGTGAAGATTGCAGAATTTCTGTTCTTTATGCACTCTTAATTTTCTCCGTCTTATGCCCATCAGATTCATGTGCATTCCATGTATGTGCCAATCAACAAACTGAAGAGAACAGCTGTTGGAGAAAAATGATAGTGTGCAAGGCTGTGAAAGTATGGGTAAGTATTATACTTATCTGTCCCTTGTTTTCTGACCATTTAACTCAGTCACAGAAAGAATTAAACTTTCATTCAACTATACTGAGCACCAAACTATTACTACCATGATGGAGAACTAGGAACTGAAGCTTCTCTCTAGAACAGCCTGACCTAACCATTTGTTCTAATCAAAATAAATGCTGCTTTAAGCAATTATGAAGTATCTATCTATTGCTGTCATCTTACCCATATATTACAGTGTGTGCGCAGTTTCCAGAATAGTAACTATAGAAATAACATTATTGAGCAATAGTCTCTAGAAAGATTGGCAATGCTTTCATTCTTAAACATTTTGCATTCATTTTTTAACGATGTATATCCCTTGACATGTGCTTTCCTATAATCCTATGAAGTTCCTAGTCCACAACTGGAAGGGACCTGACAAGGTCATCTAGTGTAGCCCCCTGCTCAAGGCAGGATTGTCCCCAACTAAACTATTCTAGCCAAGTGTCCATCTAACTTGTTTTTAAAACATTGCAAGGATGTTATCTGCAACTCCACCCAACTTGGTGTTATCTGCAACTCCACCCAACTTGGTGTCATCTGCAGATTTGTAGAGTGTGTACTTGATCCCCTTGTCCAAATCATTAATGAAGATAAAGCAATACTGGACTGAGGGCAGACCCCTAGGGAACCCTACTTGATACCTTCTCCCAGCTAGACATTGAGCCACTTATGACTACTTGTTGAGTACAATGATTCAACCAGTTATGTGTCCACCTTACAGGACTTTAATCTAGTCTGTATTTCCTTAGCTTGTTAATGGAAATGTGATGGGAGACTGTCAACAGCCTTCCTACGGTTGAGGATTATCCTGTGATGGGGTTCTCTCAGCAGGGTGGGGGTCTTTCCAAACATTGTCCTGCTGCGCCCACCTGCCTTGCCTTTGATGCAACTGATATGTTGTTTCCAAGGCAGGAGGCTGCCCATTTAATGCCCAATGCCAAGGGCATAATACATAGCTCCGACCTTCCCTTTACTATGTCCCGTGCCTCCCAGATAGCATCCAAATCACTACAGGCAGTCCTCAGACTTACAACACAATTGGTTCCTGAAAACTGCATCTTAAGTAGAAACATGCAACTTGGAACCAATTTTCTTATAGGAACAATGTTATAAATGGGGGAGTGGTTGCTTTATTATGGTCGACACGGCTGTGTCCAGCTGGTAAGTCTGTTGTGGTGTGGGGGAGGATGGAGGGAAGGGGTGTGGGGGCAAAGATAAGTGCGTCTGCAGCAAGAGAGGGATTGGGGCTGGGACAAGCTGCCACACCAGCAGCTCCCAGACTGGCAGCATGCAGTGGCACAAGCCGCCCCACCCCCTCCCTGGGCAGTGCTTACCCCAGCCTGGTTCCCAGTCCCAATCCCTCCCTTGCTGTAGGGTCATTGATCTGCCCCGACCCCACGCCCCTTCCCTCCCCACCACAATAGAGTTACCAGCTAGACAAAGCTGTGTTGACCATAATAAAGATGAAACTGGCATGGGAACCTTGAAACGGTGTCAATTTACAAGTGTCATAAATGCCATCTCGTAACTTGAAAAGTTGTAAGTCAAGGACTGCCTATACCCCACTCCCTAACTCTAGCCATACTCATACTGAGCCCCTTGCCCCTCACACACTCAGGGCCACTTGCCCCACTCTGGAACCCCTTGGTCCCACCAGCCTCTTTGCTGGGTGCTTTTTTTGTCAGGTTATGCTCCCCTAGCCTTTCTCCTCTGCAGCATACCCACAAGGCAGGGAGGGGTGAGGTTTTATGACACCTTTCACTAGGGAGGCACAGGTGTGGCATTTCCCAAAGAATGCCACAGGCAGCCCCACCACACCATCCTCCTCAGCAGGGTGTAGTCATTCCCTAGAACCTCTTCCATCCCCATAGTTCCTACCCTTGATATTTTGGGAGCAGCTCCAGCTGGCAATGTTCTCTCTCTGGCTTTCTCTAGCAACTGTGAGCTTAGCTCTGAGGGCCCACATATGTTGAGGCTGCTTAGCCAAATCCTCCAATCCAGGAGCCCTCCCTCAGTCATATGACTGCCTCACTAGGCTGCACCACACCTGCTGCCTGCCCCACAGTCTGCTTAAGCCTCTTAAAGTGGCAGGCACGAAAGGTGCTGGGCCACACATCTACTGCTCTCATTCCATCCACATGCCTGTCACCTTTACTATAGAAGGAAATAAGGTTGGTTAGGCATGATGTGCTCTTGGTGAATCTGTGCTGGCTGTCCTGATCACTTTGTTCTACTCTAGGTGCCCCCCCCAACAGATTCCTTAAGGACCTACTCCACGATCTTTCCAGGTATTAATTTAATTTTTGCCTCATGCAAGGACTGAAGATATTCATAAAGTTAAGATATAAAACTAGGAGGTAAAAAACACTGGATTCAGTTCTTAGTTCTACTGCAGCCTTCTGGTGTGACCTTAAATAAATCATCTAACCTCACTGTGCCTTGGTTTCTCCATTTTTAGAATGAAGATATGCTTTTCTTGCGTATGTACTTGGCTTTACAGAGCTAGGATGCAAACAAGTCCCATGAACCAGGACCTAAATAAGCACAGTCTACAAAGCTATTCCCACAAGAGAAGAAAGGGGCTTACAGTGGCTGTAAGAGCACAGAAGATAAATAGTTTTCCTATGTTTTTTTTCTTTTGTCCAAGCATAAGAATTTCCACAGTTACCTCAGGGTGACTAAGCTTGTGCTCTGCAACAGTAGTACTCTCCTGGCACCACTTATCCCAGTAACAGTTTGAAATGTTTGTATTTTAAACTGCTAATACCAGTGCTGCTTTCAAGACTCAGGCATTCAGAAACATAGACATGTTGGTGCCAAAAGAGAACAAATCTCACTCCTTTGCAGGAGGCATATCTATAACCCTCTTCATACTGCAGTGTGGCATGCAGACCTGAAAGGGGAAACTCCCTCAGTCACACACAACTTATTTTTCATTCTTTCTTCCTTGCTCAGGCCCTTCTTCTGTCTCCCTCCTTGACAGAGACATAGGTTAGTATTTTGTATTTTCTTGACACAGTCAGCATTATTGATATGGGGACCCAAATTTTAGCAGTATTTTCAGTTACCTGTCCAATAAAAAAATTAAAAGGATCTGGAGGAAGGAGGGAGACATTCTGCATGCAATGTGTGCTTTTTTACTAGTATGTTCTTACCTTTGTCATGGTATATTTCAGTCCTGAAATAAAGAAACCACATAACTGACTAGAAGAGGGGCTGATGACCTCTTTCAGATTATGGACTGGAACACCCTGGTCACAGTCCATTGCATACAGGGTGGTTTTAGCAGTGTATCCATGGTATGGGTTGTTGGGAGGATCAAGCTTTTTCTGCACCCCTGCTGGAGCCTCAAAGCTAAGATCTATACCCCTAGCACTGCTCCTTCTCCCAGCCCCTCCTTCCCCAGCTGTAGTGCAAGCGCAGCTCAAAGCTGAAGGGGAGCTGTGCCGGGGCTGGTGGTCTGGAAGCAGCTTCCATGCTGCTGCCACTTCTCCCTACCCCACCTCCCCACCCTCCACTTCCCCTCACTCCAGCCAGATCAGCCCTGGTGCATCTCTGTTCTGGGTGGAAGTTGTATTTGCACCACAGTCTTGGGGAAGGAGAGGGGGCAGGTAGCAGCAGGGGCACAGCTCCCTAGCCTTGGTGCTGCTTTCCTACAGCTGAAAGCTTCACCTGTGCCACGTCCTTGGTGGAAGGGGGGCTGAGAGAAGTGGCTGAAGCATAAGGACAGCAGTTGGCTTCATAGCCCTGATGCAGCTTCTCACTGTTCAGCCCCATTATGGGCACAGGCCCAGGCACAGCTCCATGGACTGGATCCAGTGTTTCAGTGAGCTGGATTCAGCCTGCAGGCCATACGTTGCTGACCACTGGACTACAATATTTTCAGTAATGTAACATTTGTTGCTGGATGCAATTCTGGATGAACAAATGAGTTCAATTCAACATTTCTTAATATTTCCTTACTCAGCCTCAGGACTCTTACAACTAGACCTTCCAGAGCTTTAGGGCAAGAACATTTCAGTTTGTCACCTGCTAGTTTTGCAGGTTGGAATTGAGTTTTAAGAATACACAGTTCTAATCAGTTTAAATTTTATATCATACTGTTTCCTAAATATTTCCTCCTGTTTTTCCTTTTGTGTTTCTAGACCTATTCCTGACATTCTGGAGGGAGACTGTCCTGTTGCTATTTCCTGTTAACTGCTCTTAGGTTTTGAAGTATGGATGCTCTTCTTATCGCAAAGAAAATTCTTTTCCTTATCTTCGTGGAGCTGAATGAGGGAAGACTTCTTCGTTTCCTGTTTCAACTCTTTATCTCAACATTTAATTCATGGATCCTGTACCAGCTGGCTTCCCCACTGATGGCACCCAGCCAGCATCTTGCTGCACCTCAAACGCAGGGCAATTGAAATTAGCATTTGTTTCCATGAGAGTTGTCTTCTGTGCCAGCTTTTCACTTTGTTTTGCATTATGTTTCACAGCTGAGAAATGATTTTCGTAAGTAAATGCACACGGAAGCCAGTCTTCTTGACTGGTATCTCTTTTTGTCTTAGGAAGGTAACTTTTCCCACTGTGCCCTACTGGGGATCCTAAAAATGGATAAAGTGTCTGCACATGTTGCTTTGCCAGCCTGTTTCAACATGTATGAAAAGTTGCAGCAGGAAAACCAGGATACACTTTCCATCCTGAAGCATGGGGAAAAAAAAATCCTGGAAATTCCATAATGGGAATTTTTTAACCGAGAACAAAGGCCTGACTTTGTAGATAGGCATCTTGATGTAACCTCATGTAAAGCAGCTAATGCACAGGAACAAATACAAAGTCACCTTGTCCATTATTTATTTCTGAGAGCAGAAATATAGCTGCATGTGTGAATCCATGTAAGTGCTGGATATGAAGAGCTTTCACTGGGATAAGAAAGTGAAAAGCTACTTCTCATTTCTAGCAAGCCCCTTCCCAAGGAAGGTGAAGTTTCAATGACCTGTAGTACTAAAGAAGATCCTGTAGAGATGGGATCTACATCATTTTCCCAGTTTTCTCCAGAAGCTTTAGTGGAAAAGGAACAAAAACAAGAGTTGGACAGAACTGATCTCTTTATTAAAGGAACTGACCTCTGGTGGGATGAGAGGCCAGAAGTGTAAAGCCCCAACTCATTAGCTTCTTGGTGCCATTTCAGTTCTTCATACTGCTGATGGAGTTGGGTATTAACTCTTCTGTGGCTATTGGAGAACTGGGACTGCCACATTCATGGGTGGAGGTTGAAAGCAGTCTGATGGGAAGAACTTGCAGCCACTTGGAGGAACAAGTCAGAGAGAACAAAAATGCTGAGGAATGGCTTTTTAGGCTCCTCCTATCTTTCCCAAACCAGGAGAAGATCATAGTTCTTACATGTTTACAAAAAGTTATTTGTTTCCATCACTTGTGATTATACAGAATGTTTTCCTTCCTCTTGAGAGAGGAGTATATATCATTTAGTTGCTTCTAGTTTCTCTCTGTAGTCAGTGAGGTTTCTTGGTGGAAAGACCAGAATTTGGTTCTCTTCTTTTCTTCCATTTGTATCTGGAGCTCTTGTTAGTGCACCTTATTCCAAGCTTATATTAATGTGAATTTAGCAAATGTGACTTTTTAAAAAAATTATATTTTAAAAATCTGGAACAAAATGGATTTAGGTTTTGTTTATGTTTGATTTTTTTTTTTGTTCTTTGTTTAGAAAACTGCTGGATAGAGCCAGAAAGCCTGAAAATGGCTGGAAAAAAACAACAGCTGAAATCCTTATGTTTTGATGATAGGTAGCAAAAGTAGCATTTTTATAGCTGGTACAGGAAGGAGAGGGAGGAAAGGAGAATATCATAAGATGTTGTTTCTGATATTTAAATGAGTAATGGAATTTAAAGGGAAACAATTTCCAGAGCAGAACAAACCCTTGTATGTGTACTGCTCCTAATCTTCTCTCTTGGGAATTGAGTTGTGTAGGAAACTTGCATTGTGACAATAAGGTTTAATTATAGGTTTAATAATTTTTGTGTTTGCCTAGAGAGAAGATCAGGTTTACAGGGTAAGGAATGGCTAGCAGAATACTCCATATTGAAAATAATACCAAATGTAATGTAGCAGACCATGAGCACCAATGTACCATGAGCTGTGTTTATCTTCACTTGGAGAAATTGTCATATTAGTCATGGCTAGTGAATTAGCCAGGTTGAGCTGGCTTCCTTTAAGGATGCTGTAGTGGAATGGAATATGGATGTTCTAGGGTTAAAGACAACTGGAAAAAAAGCCCACTTCACTGCCTTCTGTGGAAGACAACTGGATTTTGCATTGACTTCAGTAGAGGCAGGATCAGCCTCTTAGTGAGGGGGAAGTACCTGCTATCGATATTACAGTGTTTCATGCGATTAGAAGGTATATGATATGGCAAATGTATGTTTAAGTGTGTGGATTTTCTTCTCTTCCCTAACCGCATTCATTATCCATCTGACATATCTAGAAGCTGTTCCTAGCACTGCGTGACAGCATATCGCTTTGGGGATGGGAGTGTGTCTTTGTATCCCGTTTATTGTTAAAAATGGAATGTGGCTGTGAAGAAGGTGGACATATTTAAAGCTCATTGGTGCCACACTTTGTAGGAGTAACCTTGGCTAAGCATTGTATAGTTCTGCATTATACTGAAAAATTGAAATGTTGACTTTGCCTCCCCCCCC